GAGCCCGCTGGCGGGCTGCCAGTGGCCTGGGATAGCTCTCGCGGCGGGGCGGATGGCGCGGTCGCCCGGGTCGCCGCATCCAGACCAGGCTGCCGGTTGATCACAGCCATGTGTTGGCGCAAATCTCCAGCCCTCATGCCCGCGGTCATCGGCGTCGCGCAGGGCGTTGCCGGCGTAGATTCGACGTCCGACATGGCGGGGGGCTCATTGCGCGCGGCGTCGGCCTGACTCGATGGCCGCAACGGGGCGGGCGGCCCCGCTTACGCTGGCGCCGCGGACTGGAGACTGGAGCCCAGCCGCCGTCCACGGGTCGTCGAGCGCAAGAACGTCCGCGCTCGCCCGGCATGGCAGCCTCGGCCGCTGAGGGCATGGCCAGTGATGCCGGTGACATTTGCTCCGGGGAGGCGTCTCCTGCACGCGGCCCAGCGTCTGGAGTCGTCGCGTCGCGCTCGCCTTCCATCGCGTGGATGGCGCCCGCTTCGGCCCCGAGGTTGCTCCTTGGGGCCCCCGCGCCGAGGCCGCGCGGATGCTTTGGCTGGCGCAACTTCCGCCCCTGGGCGCCAGACTCTTGCTGCGCGCCCCCGCCGGCGCGAGGGCTGGAGTGCAGCTCGTTCTGCCATCGGGGGCGTGCGCGTCGCTCATGGCCGCAATCTGCATAGCGATGCGAGGGGGCATCGGTCCGTCTCATCCGTCGTTGAGGAGGATGTCGTCGGCTAACCTCCAGATGTTCACTCCATGCTGCATCGGCCGCATCATCGTTCTCGACAGGGTCACTTCGGGGCCAGGACGCACGCCCGATTGGGCAGCCGCGAACGACGCGCCCACCGCGCTTTGGATTGTCCTCCTCGCGGCCGGAAGGTCCACGCTTGAAGGTGGGCTCGAGGCAATGAAAGTTTCTTCCGCACGCGAAGAATCAGGGCCCCCGCGGCTGCCCTGCAGCGCTGGGCCGCGAAGACAAGAAGATGATGACGCATGCCTGGTCTCGCGTGGCCGTTCGTGGCCCTGATGAATTGCCGGGGCCGCCTGTGGCGCCCGTGCCTTCTTGCGTGCCTGTGCGGGCGTCCGTCATGGTTGCTGCCGTGAGCAGCACCAGCGCGATGTAGTTGGGGCATTGCTCTACCACCCACTCCTGGACCATCGCGCGCCACTTCTTGCGTGCGGCCAGCTCCAGCGCCTCTCGCGTTCATTCATCATGCCGCCGTAGACGTCTCATGAGGAAACGCCTCCTGGAAGTAGCTGCTAAAGCCCGACTCCCCCCCCCTGCCCTCCCCGAGCTAAACGACGGCCGCTGACCCGCCGTGCTTCAGGAATTCGCAGGCGACCTCGAGGCGCGCATCTTGGAGACATGGTACACCGAATAATTAGAAGAAACAGAGCTGTTAGATGCCGCTCCAACTTGGAACTAAGGTCGGGACCGACGCAGATGATCACTGCAAGCTGCGTGATGGTGACTGCCGCGAGTGGATGGCAGGGCCTGCTGCTTGCGCGGGGAATCTAGCTGTGCGACGTTGAGGGAACATTGACGTACATTAATGCTCAACTAGCCCTGGCGACAGCTATGGAGTAGACCGCGGCGAGCACGAACTCTCTGACGAATCCAGTTCCACTGCAGACATGCACAAGATCGCACTGACAGAACAGCAACACCAACTTCTAGGATACAGCTGCGCCACTACCATGTGAGTAGATGTGTCTGCGACTGCAAAGGAGGGCCGCAACCGTCGGAGAGGATGACCTCTTCGTGAAAATTGAGGCACTGCCCACAGGACTCAAGAGCTGGTTGGTCGGGACATTCTTCGAGATAGAAGAGATGAAATGCGCCGTGACTTCGAGGTGCGCGTACACGCTGAGATTCGCAAACCACGAAGAAGGAGAGATGGGGCGCGCCAGTCGAATCCGCCATGCACCGCGGGGTCAATTGACTGAGGCTTCTGATGCGGGATTTTTTTTGAAGGCGCAGCCGGGCGGTCGAGCCAGGGTCACTCGCTTGCGCGGACGCGCGCAAGAAGCATTGGATCTGCGCGTCCACGAGCGTCGACGCAGCCTCGTTGATAAACGGGGCTCGCATTCCGCGGGTTGACAGGCGACCAGCGACACGCGGCGGATAGTATATTTTACCTAACCACCAGGGTCAGCTACCGCTCTGAGATCACTCCCCAGGATTCTCGTCTCACGACGAATCGAGGGCATCCTCGCCGAGGCCTCGCGCGACCACTCGAGGGTTCCGGCTGCGACCAGCATCGCGCGATGTGGAGCTCGTGACTAGCAGCAACCACGCGGCGGCTCAACAAAGTGGGCGTGGCCGGCGTCGAGGACATGACGGACAAGCGCGTCTGATGCGATGAGAACACCTTCGGCGTATGCCGACCCAATAAACGCGCATGCGCAAGTTGCGCCGCGGGGCATGCCAAAATTTAAGATGGCAGCGCCGCCCCCGACAAGGGCGAATGCGTCAAACAGTTCCGTCCGACACACCGTCCTGAATTCACGGGCGCCTGAGGAAGAGGCGACGACGACTGTGGCTGACGCGTTCATCAGCCTTCGGGCTGATTTGGCTTGTGCCCTCATAACCCCACTCATGGTTGATGGCGCAGGTATTTCTTATTTCGGTATCCGAGGACCGACCGACATACGGCCCCGACGATTCCGCGCATTCACAGGAAATTTGCAGACGAGCCCAAAGAAATTCGCACACTAAGCGATGGCCCGATCAGGAGACTTGGACCTGCGCATCGACCCTGGCCACCGAAGCCCCAACGGCAGCGCGCATGAAGAGGCAAGAGGGAATGGTCTCATCTCCGCCAACTTACTTAGGCGTGGACACATGCCAGGTGGAACGCCTGTCGTTCACTTGGTAGCCGCGCGCTGCAAGTCCCATCGACTGCGGGTACACTCCAGCAATTAAACGGAATCGCTAACCTTGTCCCGCAATTTTCAAGACAGCTACCTGACGATCGTGGCACTACACGAACTCCAAGCGTGATTACTCACCCCAACACACGTCAAGCACATTGGATATGTGCGGTCTGCGCATCAAGGTCTCGCTGGCAATCGATGCAGAATCCGTCTTAACATCTCCATCCAGCAAGGACCCGAACCAACATGGCAAAATGTTCAGTGCTAGGTCCCATGACTTGGAATAGACAAATGGTAGACAGGGGTATCGTACATCGGCTACAACCGTGTGGCACACACGATGTGAAAACCAGCGGACATAATAAAAGGCAGTGTCGGTCGCTAGCTAGTCCCACAAGTATTGTCAGGTAGGCTGTCCTTCACGAACGACCTGAAGAAATACACACCACACCTGGTCAACCAGGCTTCAACTTCTGAGCCTGGGCTTACGAGGGTCGCCGTCTAATGTGCCATGTGTGGTTAGCGTGGCCACATGCGTCCCACGCCTGGGTGACGGGCTCGTTCTATTTTCCAGGACCGTATCGGGCGTCTGGATCTCCAAACGACTGACATTGGCGAGACCATTCGCTTCCATATTTCGTGCCATTCATGGGGGGTCACAGCCGGGTGTTGCCCTTTAGCGACTTACCAGGCTGTGGGATTGTCCGCCGCGCGGGCGTTGCTAGCACGATTGATTTCAATGAAACTGATGCTGCGAGCGGATCTGCTGTTTGTCTCCTCCCTTCCGGTTTTTCGAGCGGAGGTTAATTGCAAGCAAAACGGGCTGTCCGTTGCCGTTGTGGCTCACAGCGGCGCGCAGCACTGTTTGCCTATACGATCACTTCTATATTGTCGGCTACGATGAACGGACACATTATTTCTAACATGCGCCCTCTTACATCTTCCATCCCATGCCCCATCTCTCAAGTACACGCTCAGGCCTCCAGCATCCTTTGGCCATGGGAACGCATAGGGCCTAGCAGATGGGTCGGCGTATAATGTTGTTCACGAATCACGAAGCACCCGAGAGATCCCAAAGAGGGTCGCCGCGACAGCCTCAAGAGACACATGTTGCAAATGTTAGTGGAAGGCGTGTTTTCATGTTGTTGGTGCACTCTCTCTGTTTGGGTTCCCTGGGCGCCCGGAATGGCCCGAGGGGTCATCCGCCCCCCCTGAGACGACTCGGGATACCTTCGACAAAGGGGCCCCCCATGTGACGTTTCCAACGGGCGCCCAGTAGCCCCCCAGATCCTTCTCATTACATCAGTGGCCAACACCACTCTCAGGGTCACGCAGGCCCACAAATCTTGAAGACACCCCCAAAGCCACCATTGGCTCTCCGCGATACCCCAAACGACACCCCAACACAGCAGTCCAATCACAAAAAAGAAGCACGGCTGACCAGACAAGCATAAACAGAGCATGGGAACACAGCGCGTCAGCTACACTTCTCGGGCATGATGCCCCTTTTTTTCGTCTGTGTTTGCTCAGGCGGGGGAGAGCCATGCGACGTGGGGAGGGGGAGGCGTGGTACACCCCTCTCCGAAAAGAAGAGAAGCAACGGGTTAGAACAACTACTTAAGTGAACATCTCTCGGCAGGAGGGCTCGAAGGAATGTGTGCGGCGGCTGGATTTGCGTGGCCATCGGCAAAGAACTACAGTCGGGGCCCTGAAGAAGGAACCCTTTTGGTTGGGGAGGGGCTCCGCGTTCCTTAAGTTTTTCACAGCTTGCCTCAGGTTTTCCTTATGTTCCCGATAGGAAATCTGAGCTTAACTTATGGAAAAGAGGGGCCTCGTTCCTTATTTAGGGTTCCTTCGGTCAAGACCCTCACTGTACTGCAGGAGGAAGTGAGATAACGATTGGAGGTGGAAGGGGGAGGGTGGTGATAGTAGGTGGGAGGAGGCTGGGAGGAGAGCCTGTCGAGACCACGGCGGCTCCCTCTTCTTGGGGTACGTCTTGACTCGTGCTTCGAGGCGGACCCAGCCTTGGCGACGAGAAGCCTCCAAGAGACCCGCGACGGACGAGCAACACACCTCGGAGGGCCGCTCTTGTCTCGATTGGCCCTCCTCTGGGAGGCAGGTGGAGGAGGAGAAGCAGTCCAGGAGGAGAAGAGAAGCATCAGTCTGCAGGGGTAGCCGTTCGCGCTCAAGCGTTCGCGGCCCACGGCCCCAGCCATTCCCTCTGCGGGGACAGCCTCGGGGACTGTACCCGCTGTCTCTCGGCTTGCGAGAGGACCCAGTGGCCAGCCCCTCCCTTCCTGGGAACTTGAACTCCTCCCCACGAGTGCTCATCCTTGCTCTCCTCCCGTTCCTCCTCCTCCTGCTCCTCCTCCTCCTCCGTAACCATTTTGGCTCAAGATGCATAGTTCCTCAGGGGAACAAGTGGATACCTCTAGTCCGCGGCAGGCAAGACCCTTGGCGGTCTGGCAGAGTTTGAGCACCGCACTTACGCTCGTGCCTATGGGTAAACGGAGGTCTTTCCCGTTCCTGCGCGTGCGAACGTCTCAGTCTCGCTCATTGGGGTCGCCGACCCCAGCACGCAGCAGATCCTCCTCGAAGGCATCGGCCTCGCGACCACATTCTCGTCGCAGAATGCCGAGGACAATGCGAAGGGTGGCCAACGCGGGACAGGTTCAGTCCCAGCTCGTGCTGCTGATGTTGACGTCCCTCCTCTTGGCAAACGTCGTGCCATTCCGCCCACTTCTGGGGCGGCGATCGGAACCGACGGACTCGCTGATGATGCTGAAGACGGAAAATGGGCTGGAGTGTCAGATGGTTACCTACGAAATATTGTGCGTTCAGAGCGGGATGGTCTCAAAGAGTCCATGCAAGAAAAAGTTGGCAACATTGTCGCCGCCTCGGTTGCAGAGTCGAACAAAATCGTCCTTCAAGCCCTTGACGCCGTCAGGGCCCAGCTCAATGGGCAAGCCTCTTCTCTTGATCAGTAGCTGCAGTCAGCCATCCAGCCGTCACTCGACGAGATTGGTAAGAGGTTTCAGAAGCAGTTCGATGTTCATACGGCGCGTCTGGATGAGCATGATGAGGGGATGGACAAGCACGACGAGAAGCTACAGGCCCTGCAGGGCGAAGTGGCTGAGTTCAAGAAGTTGCTCGCGGTCGCGGAGGAGAGGCCCGTGGTCCCCGTTGCGGTGCCGTCTGGCTTCTCCCGTGACCCAGACCACACGATCATGGTGGTCATGTCACAGGTGCCGACCACCCTCGCCTCGGTCAAGAAGTCGCTGGGCGAGTGGTTGCGGTCCTTGGCGGTCAAGCCGGAGGACTGCAAGATTGAGGCGGCGGGGCCTTCGCCCAGCCGCCGCTTCCTCATCAAGTTTGGCGGGCTCGTTGCGCCCGCGACCCGTAAGGTGCAGATGGTTCTCTCCAAGCTTCGCGAGAACGGCGTCTGGAGAGAAATTTTGGGCTGATGTTGACGGAGCGCCTGCGCGCCGTCTCCACCTTTGGCCATGACAAGAGCCCGCAGCAGGTCAAGCAAGATATCACACTGCGCAAGTGCAAGGATGCCCTCCAGGAGTTGCGCGGGGCGGGCCCCAGGATCTTCCTGGACCGCGAGAGGGGGGTGGGGTGCTTTCCATCGGATGGGATCAGGTACTGCGGGTCGAGGTCTTCCACGGCGAGTCCCCCCCGAAGCTGTGGTGGGTCGTCGAGGGCCAACAGAAGCATCGTATCTCGAAGGCGCAGGCCATCGCAGCGACGAAGGCGCTCACGGACCCTCCCAAGGAGCCTCAGTGGCGCCGTTAACGTCGCCTGAAGGCCATCGCGGAGCACGAGATGAGAGAAGGCACGTGCACGCGCACCCCTGATAAAATACGGGTTCTCGGTTGGAGGAACACGGACGTGAAGATCATGTCCGCGGTCGTGAATCGTGCGCTACGCCCTGTTGTTGCGCGCGTCGCCCCCCGGGCCCAGAGGGGGCTCGTGCCTGGGCGGAACTTCGGGTTAAATATTCGAGATGTTGATGCTCATGCTCGGAAGCTATCGGTGACATGCCCTCGTGATCCTGGCCTTCCCCTCCTCTTCTCCCTGGACTTCGGCCGAGCCTTCCCCTCCCTGAACCAGGATTACATGCTAATGGTGCTGCGTATGCTGAACCTCCCTGATGCTCTCCTCCTCTTCGTTTGCCCCCTGTGCGCCGCGATCGAGGGCGTCGTCTCGGCCGGCGGGGTGTTGAGGGGGATCTTCTGGATCCGCAGTGGGATTATTCAGGGCTGCGGGCCCTCTTGGAAGCCTCTTTGCGCTGAGTACGGCGCCTTTCATGAGCGACTTGGGGTTATCGGTCGAGGGTCCCGGGAACGGTCTTGTTCGAGCGTGTACTGACGAACTCGGAGGTGCGGTTCGTTCGCTCGTGGGCCCCCTGCAGGTCTTCCGCATCATGCAGCTTGCTGAGCCCTTCGCCAACCTAGTCCTCAGGATACCGAAATGTAAGGTCGTGCCCCTGGCTGGGCGCTTTTCTGCACCGCTGGCGGCCCGTGTGAAGGCCGCGATCTCGGAGGCTATCCCGACTTGGGCTGATCTGGAGGCGGTCTCGAAGTTGCTCTACTTGGGCCTCTGGTTGGGTCCTGAGGTTGGCCCATGTGACTGCTGGACGGACCCTGTTGCCAAGCTTCGCCCGCGGGCTCAGGCGATTGGCCGCGGCGCGACACCCCCCAGCGTCCCAGCCATAGTATATGACACTCGTGCGGTGGCCACACTCGCACGTCGCGCAATTCGCTCGGCTGCCCTCCAAGCTTCCGGCGCTTGAGCTACCAACGCTGGCGCAGGCCTTTCGGGCGCCACTCGGCGCCCTCTCGCTGGAGTCCTGGGCGCAGCTGGACCTGTGGGGCGGCCCGCGCGCCCTCCGCTGGGGGCGCGCCGCGGTCGCGTCGCCGGCGCGCGCTGCCACGCTCGCCTTCCCCGAGCACGAGCAGATCCTGAACCCGCTGGTCTCTTTCGTCAACGAGCACGACGACTGGCGCACGCTGCGCATGCTCTGCCCTGGCCGCCTGTATCCGAGCTTCTGGCGTTCTCAGTCGTGCGTGGAGGCGCTGCCGCAGGCTGCCGCTGGACTCGGCCCCCCCGGTCAGCTCTCGCCCATGTTGCCGATTGCTCGCGACGTTGCCCGCGAGGAGCCCCTGGCGGCTGTTGGCCGCCGCCCGCGCCCCCATCGCGCTGCGCATCGTGCTCTTCGGGAGTCGGCTCGCGACGCTGCTCCTCTCGCTGGTGTTCTAGGGCTTAGATTGCGCAGGCTGTTGCCGCGCCACTGCCGTGCTCTTGATGATGTAAATTCGGGACTCGATTGATGCAGTGCTCGGGGGATGCCCAACGTCGCGGGCGTGGGCTGCAGTTCGTACCTGGTCGGGCGCCTGGCTCACTTCGCATCGCATCCTCCATGCTGATGGAAGGTGGTCATGTGCTTATGGTTGCGCGCGCTCGCCCGACTCACTCAAGCACAGCGCCCGCTGCCCGAAGGTGTTCCACGCGATGCGGCTGGCGCTGGGTCGGCCATTCCCTCTCCCAGTTCTGCGTCGTTGGTGCCTTCGTGCCCCGTCCATCGATAATCTGGCGGCGATGATGGTGGCTTACAGTGTGTGCAATTTGACCCGCGCCATCGGGCAGTGGCCGATTAACGGCAACCAAGCGTTCAGCTGCGCGTTGGCCGGAGCACGCGCGACGAGGATGGCGCCCCCGATGCAGCTCTCGGGCGTCGAGCGCGCCGCCCTCGAGGTGACGGGCTCCGCGCCGCCCCGCCCCGGCTCCTCCTTATCTTCCTTTTCGTCGTCGAGCTCTTCTGCTGAGCCCTTTGTGCCCCCCGCCCTTGCCTCGCCCATCGCCCCCCCCGCCCCCGTTTGCGCCTCTGTGGGCCAAGCTGCGGGCCAGGGCCCCGGGTCGCCCCATCACTTTGTCTTTCGCTGCTCTGAGGGCGAAGCTGCGCTGCAGGCTCCTGCTTCACCTTCGCAAATTGGTTTGTTTTCCGCGATGACCTCCCCCAATGCCTCGGGGTCGGGCCACCCGCCTCTAATGGGCCTCGCGAGTGCCCCGATGGCCGTGCCGGCGATTTCTAGAGCTTCTGACCACCCCCCAACATCGTATCGATGCCTGTGCGTCGAATTGCTCGCTCGCAGATGCTGTCAACTGCACCGCGGGGCCCGCCTCCCGCGGTGCGCGTGTCGCCCACCTGTCCGCAGCATCGGCCGTTCTTCCCCATCCGCTCGGCCTATGATTATGCGTCGGAGTCGGGCCGCATCTTCTCCGCCCGTCGGTCGCTCCTGAGCGCTGCTCCTCGTGCCCATGCGTGCTCCCCCCCTGCTCCTCCCTCTTTCGTGCCATCTCGCTTTCCTTTTCTGTCTTTTTTCTGCGCCGTCTTCCCTCCCTCTCGGTCCTTCGCTCCTGAGTGCTGCCGCTGCGATTGCTGCGCCTCCCCCGCTTCCCCACCCGATGCCGTCGCACAGTGCTCCGACTAGTTCGACTGCTCCTCCGCATTTTCCGCATGTTGATGATTTGAGTATAACATCGGCTATCCGTGAATCGTCTACTCCAGCTTCACCACGGGCTGCGCGACCCTCTTCAGGCGCGCCCGAGCTTCCCCCGCCAGGCGCAGAGGCCGCTTGGGGCGGGCGGGGTAGGTGAGGATTGGGGACTCCCTCCTTACGCTCGTGTCCTCCTCCTCCCCCCTCCTCTTCCTCCTCCTCCTCCTCCTCGCACCGCCCCTGGCGCTCCCCGCGCGGCAGGGACGGGGGTCCAGCGCCGACCCAAGACATCCGCGCGGACCTGCAAGAGTCTATTGTTTTGCCATATTTCAGAAGTGGAAAAGGGTACCGGTACTGCTACACTGCCCTCGTTTTCACCTTGTTGGGCCTCCTGGAAGGCCTTCGCCACCACCGCTGGATGAACGTCGAAATTCTAGTCAGAACGGACTCCGGGAGAGGTCCAGGACATCGCAGTTTGGCGCCTTTAGTTTCCCCGTGTCTTGATCCTTGTATCATCTAGTTGCTCCTCCTCCTCCTTTCCTCCTCTTCCTGCTGCTTTCCCCTCGCGCAACAGGCGTCCAGACTCCGTCTCGGGGCGCATTTTGGCAAGGCTTCCGAGAGGAATCCATATGTGACGGCGAAAGTTTCTCGCGGTTCCAAATGCGGCGACGAATGCGTCCAAGAGCTCCGTCCCTAGAGGAATCTGTCCTCCCTCTTCCCCCTCTCCCGCCCCGAAGCGCCGCGCCGGCCGCCAGATGGTTGCCGCGGGTCAGTCCTGGCCCTTCCCCTACGAGGTCCAGGGCAACGTTAGGAGAGGATCGGCTCACGTGGGGGCACATTGACCCCCAATGGCCCACTGATCGCCCCGCGCACCCCGCCGGGGTCCGTGCGGTGTTGCCATCAGGGGCCTGTCGCCGATCCATCGGCGATGCATCGCCGATTCCCGCTCAGTGTCTGCTCCCCGGAGCGGGCCTGCCCCCACCCCTTGGGCGTTGCGTAACAGAGGGGTCATAAATAGGGGGCTTGGCGAGGGTGGTCCGAGAAAGGTACCCAAACGGTACCTGAACGAGCCCCCTGGGGTTCCGAAGGGGCCCGAAACGGGCACAAAAGGGACCGTTTCGACCCCCCCCATTTATGACCCCCCCAACGAGCCCCGCCCAACCCGTGACGCCGCCCCCTCCCGAGGTGGTGGCCACGGGGGCGGGCAGGGGCTGCGTGGCCTCCCGCGGGGTGAGGGCCGGAGAGACGGTGCTCCGCTGCGCGCCACTCTCGGCCGTGCTCACGGACCGCGAGCTGCACAGGCCGGCGGCCCGCAGGGCGTCGAGAGGGGGGGCTCGAGGATCGGGGCCCGAGCCTCGAGGATCGAGGATCGTCAAAACACACCGACACACTTAATCGTCGATTCCTAGGAAAATATGGGGAAATATGGGAAGTGGGTGGGAAGACAAAAACTCCCCAAAAATATGGAAATATGGGGATTTGGTTTATTTGTGTGTATTTATTTGTGTGTTCTGGGGCCCCTTGAGGTTAGGGGTGGGCATCTGCTCCCGTTCCCAACCTCCGAGGGGCCCGGGCCCCTGCCGGCGGTGCTCGCGCTGCGGTGTGCCGGGCAGGGCGGTCTCAAGAGGCAGGGGGGGGGCCTCTTGCAGAAGACTTCCCGACCTCGGTGCAGGAAGCCTACCTGGAGGCCTCCATGCCCTGCTAAGAGGCGTTTCCCTCTTTCTCCCCCGCCGTATTCGAAGGCCGCCGCCGCCGCCTTCGCCGGCCAGACCCCGTTCGCAAGCTGTCCCCCGGACTTCTCTTGGGGCCCATCCTGGGCAGCTCTTCGAGCTGCGTCCAGCCTCTTTCGACGAGGGTCGGGGGCGAAGGCCAGCACTCACAGCTGGCACATGTTTTTCTCCTTGCTTACACTCTCCACCTTGTATTGGAGGGTGAAAGAAGGGGTCTGCAACAGGGGGTCTTCAGTGGGAGCTGAATGGCCCATGCATGCTCAATGTATCGCTCATGTATGAAATGCGAGGAGCACTACAATGTAGTGCTCCTCGCATTTCAGGTATATCTAATTCTGGGGCTGCGGGCCTTCGGCGGAGGGGCTCGTGCTCTTGACCAACTTTCTTGTGGACGAGTTTCGACAGAATGAAAGAGAGGAAGGGGAGCAGGAGGACGTTCAGCCTGAAACATGTCCCCATCCCCCCTCCTTATGATCGACATCACCTCATCTCGGTGCCGATCTTGAAGGCCCTTCAATTCTGATGGCGCATCGCCTCGGGCCCGTCCATCCTAGGGACTTGGATGGGATCAGGGCTGGTCAGCGGCTGACGGACGACGACGGTGACGACGACGACGACGACGACGCCGAGGAGCGGGCGCTTCCCCCAGCGGACGACGGACGACGACCAAGGACGACCGACGACGACGACGGTGACGACGACGACGACGACGATGAGGACGACAAGGACGACGACGACCACGACGACGAGGACGACCACGACGACGACGAGGACGACGACGACGATCCTGCTGATGGACGACAACGACGATTATGATGACGGACAACGACGACCACGACGACGACGACGACGACGACGACGATGACCTTGCGCGCGATGCCTGGCAGGCGGTGCAGCCGGTGCTTCGAGCCCGCGCCCGGGCGCCCGGCCTGCGCGGGTGCCGGCAGGGCCGAGAGGGTCGCCCCGGGTGGGCTCGTGTCCAGGCAGCCCACGGCCCTCCGCGAGGGTTTGATAGCTCTGGGGCCCCAAAACGGTGCGGTGACCACACCGTGTGGTGAGTCAGTGGGGATTCGGGGTCACCGCACGGTTTTGGAACTCGGGTCGCTCTTCGAGGACGGTTTAGGCGACAGGGGCCTCCAGGGGCGAGAGCATGTACGGGACCACAGCCCTGTCGCGAAACGCTATCAATAGGGCAACATACAACAGCATAAACGTAACAACTCGAAGGTCCGCGCGGATTTCTCGGATCGGCGCTGGAGACCCCTGGCGGCGCGTCTGGCGCCGCCCTTGGCGCGCTCCGCGCGCCAAGGAGGGGTTCCAATGCCGATCCGAGAAATCCGCGCGGACCTCCGAGGTTTTATGTTTATGTCTCTGTTTGTTCCCTTAGTGATAGCGTTTCGCGAGAGGGCTGTGATCCCAGACATGCTTTCCTGAACACGTTTCTGCATGCCGCAGTCTCCCCGCCCCAGTCAGATTCCACCGGCAGGAGGCCTCTTTCAGTATACACGGAAGCCGCGCCCCAGGGAGGAAAGTTTGTGGACCAGACCCACGACGAGAGCCTTCGCTCGCCCCCCGGGCTTCTGGCTAGTACAACAAATCAGGACAAGCGGTTTCTCACAGTGTTCGACCTCTGGGGGCTTGTGGGGTATAGTACATAATTTGTCGGACGGATGCTCGCGCTGTGCAAAGAATCAGGACAAGCGGTTTCTCGCAGCGTTCGGCCTCTGAGGGCCTTTCAAAACGGGCCCCGGGACCGTCGACGAACGACTCTTCTTAGACGAAATACCAGTCCCAGGGGCATGGTCGGGATTTCCAGGGAGCGCGTATTGAAACAGTCAGAACGTTGCATGTCGGGGATATTGTTTCGCTGGAGGGTTCTCATTGTGTTTCGTGGGGGTTTTGTCATAGCGTTTCGCTTGATGGAGGGTCTTGTCATAGCGTCTCGTTTGAAGAGGTCTGAGAAAAGGTAGAGGACGAAGGACCACAGAGGAGTCCCATAGGCAGGACGGGGAGCCCGAGACAGCCCGCCGAGATCGCCAGGTCCAGCAGCCGTTTCGCCTGAGTCTCCCTCACACTTTGATTCAGGGATCGTGACTCTCCTGCATGCTGGCTACATTGTTCATCCAGACGGCCGCGATCCCCCGCATCGAAGAAGAAAACACAGAAACATACACTTTTGGCGCTCCGCGCGGATTTCTTGGATCCGCGCCTGGGCCCCATGGCGGCGCCTCGGGCGCCACCCCTGGCGCGGGTCCAGCACGAATCCAAGAAATCCGCGCGGAGCGTCAAAATCACGACCGCCGCCTCTTCGACCCGCTTCGCCGCCAATGCTGGTGCTATGGTGCTCTGCTGGGGTAGTGTTTCCTGTGCGGCGTCGGCGCGCTCAGACCCCAGAATGCTAATGTTGATGCCGAAAGCCAGGCGGGGCTCATGATGTTCCACCCTGCTTCAGCCTTGATCACCAGAAAGAAGCTTGAGCACCAGATAAGTACCGAAACTCGAGGGTTTTCCGTGTCGGGCCCCGGGAGATTCGTCCGACATTGTTTCGGACATTTTTCCGGGCGCACGAAATTATTTCTGGGATGTGGCCTTGAAGTACCATGGGAACAACAGAAAGCAGGGCACATATACACAAACACGCATCACTTCCACTATAGCCTGGGGAATAGATGGGAATCACGACAAAACATGAAACATGGAAAACTATGGATATCCTGGGCGCTGTGTTGAGTTATGTGCGTCCCCCTGGGACCCTTGAGAAAGCGCCGCGCGTGTCACTTAACAGTGAGACTGGGGGCCAAGGGGGACCGGCTTGCTCAAAGTTTCGCGAAAGGTCAGGCGATCGCAAACATGGATTACGGGGGCGTGGATCAGCGACGGGTCCCGTTTCCATGGGGAATCGCGGACCTCCTCCGCCGAACGATGCGGCACCAGCCGCGTTTTGGCGAGGGCACCATCCCCCGATCCATGGATTGGGCGACCGCGCGCCAAATCCACGGACCGCTGACCCATGTTTGCGCGCCCCCCGAGGAAGGCTGCAGGATTTGTTGCCGTGTCGGGGAGGATCGATCCTCGGAGGCCTCGGCGGGCGGTGGATGCGGATGCCTGTGCGTCCGTCCGCGCGGACCCAAGACAGGAGGACTCCGCGCTGTGCCTGTGCAAGCTGTGCCTGTGCAAGCTGTGCGTGGCAGGAGCTGTGTGGTGCAAGGCAATGGTACGGTCGGGGCCCTGAAGAAGGAACCCTTTTCGTTGGGGAGGGGCTCCGTGTTCCTTAAGTGTTTCACAGCTCGCCTCAGGTTTTCCTTATCTTTTTGATCGGCAATCAAAGTTTAATTTATGGAAAACAGGGGCCTCGTTCCTTATTTAGGGTTCCTTAGGTCAACGCCCCGACTGTAGGGGAACGAAGAACGACACAATTAAACATAGAAGCTCGGAGTTCCGCGCGGATTTCTCGGATCGGCCCCCTGGCGGCGCCTCCGGCGCCGCCCCTGGCGCGCTCCGCCAGGGAGGGGGGTCCAGCGCTGGCCGATAAGAGAAATCCGTGGGGACCTCCGAGTTTTCAATGTGTATGTCATTCTTGGTTCCCCCAAATCAGTGGCGGAACCAATCCGGTATGCGGCGGAAGGCATGTGGTACAGGCCATGTGGTCCACGGTATGTGGTGAAAGGTATGGGGCCCAACTTGAACGAAGGATTGCAAAAAAACGAAGGATTGCAAAAAAACCTTCGTTTGAACGAAGGATTGCAATCCTTCGTTTTTTGCAATCCTTCGTTTTTTTGCAATCCTTCGTTTTTTTGCAATCCTTCGACGAAGACACAAGAGCCCCCAAGTGCAAGCACGGCGCGCGGGGCGGCAACGAGGCGGCCACGGGCAGCAGCGTGGCCACAGCTTGGGGGGGAGCCCTCGGGTGAGGTGGGCGGCCACGAGGCGACCGCGGGCGCCACTTGGCGAACCTCGGCGGGTCACCCAAGTGGGCGGCCCCACGAGGCGGCCACGGGCAGCGACGCGGCGGAACATCGGCGGACCCCCCGAGTGAACGGCAGCGAGGCGGCCGCTCTCTGTTCCAGCCTGTTCCGGCCCCATCCGCCAAGTGGAGCGCAGGGGCGCGCTCTCCACCCGAGCCCAACCTGCGCGGGTCCTCGCTCCTCGATCTTCCGCCCCCGGACATGCGACGTCCTGATTTTTTCCAGCACGGCGTCCTCAGAAGTCCAGACCCTTTCCCCGGGGCCGGAAGGCCACACCAAGTCGTCTTTGGACGGTCCCTGAGCCCGGCGAGGGCCTCCGGCGGCCGAAGATTGTGCAACAGTTGCCGCCCTGAGGTTTTTGTTACGACGCGATCGTGTCTGGGCCAGGGTTGGGCCCAGGGGCACCCCCTGCCGGCACCCGCCCTGCGCCCGCTGCGGCGTCGCCCGCTTCTGCGCCGCCTGCGCGGCGCTGCCCGCCGCGCGCGCGGAGCATCGCGCCGAGTGCCGGGCGTTGGCGCTGCTCGCCTCCGACGCGGGGGTGCGCCGCCGGCTGGGGCTCCGCGCGCCCGCGGGACGGCTCTCGGGCGCCCTGCACGGGGAGAGCAAGCGCAGATCCCCGGCACCTGATTATGATTGTTCTTCTTATTATTCCTCCTCCTCTTCTTCTTCCTCCTCCTCCTACTCCTCCTCCTCCTCCTCCTCCTCCTCCTCCTCCTCCTCCTCCTCCTCCCCCTCTTCCCCCTCCTCCTTCCCCTCCCCCTCCTTCTCCTCCTCCTCCTCCTCCTCCTCCTCCTCTTTCTCCTCCTTCTTCTTTTCCTCCTCCTCCTCCTCCTCCCCCTCCTCCTCCTCCTCCCTCCTCCTCCTCCCCCCCTCCTCCTGGTCCTCCTCCTCCTCCTCCTCATCCTCGTCCTTCTCCTCTTCTTCTTCTTCTTCCCCTCCTCCTCCTCCTTCTCCCACTCCTCTTCCTTTCCTTTCCTTTCCCTTCCTTCCGTTCCTTCATTTTCCTTTCTTTTTCTTTCCTTTCCTCTCTTCTTCTCCTCCTCCTCCTCCTACTACACCTCCACCTCCCCCTCCTTCTTCTTTTCCTCCTCCTCCTCCTCCTCCTCCTCCTCCTCCTCCTCCTCCTCCTCCTCCTCCTCCCCCTCCACCTCCCCCTCCCCCTCCCCCTCCCCCTCCCCCATCCGGGGGGGGGCGGGGCCGATGACGTCACGTTTCGCGCCGGCGGCGTCAGGGAATGCTCAGGAATGAACGAGGACGGGTAGCAGTAGCATGTAGGTGGCGATCTGCACCACAGCGCCTGTGTACACAATAGTGCCCGCGCGCACCACAGCGCCTGCGTACACCACACCGCCTATTTACACCACAGCAGCCGCGTGCAACACAGCGCCATTGTGTGTGCGTGTGTGTCACAGTGCCCGCGAGCACCACAGCGCTCGTGTACACCACAGCGCCTGCGTACACCATATCAGCCGTGCGCAACTCAGCACCAGTGTACACCACAATGCTTGCGTGCACTACAGCGCCTGTGTACATCACGGCGCCTACGCGCTCGGCAGCAACCGTGTGCAACACAGCACCATTGTTGCATATAGAAGCTTTTAAAGTAACCCTTGTGACAAAACAGAGCGCCAGTGGATTCCACAGAAAGCACTGGTTTTATATAGGATTCGGAGAGGAATCCGTTTGGAAAATGGAGCGCTGCTGGAATCCACACGTCCCCCCCGAGTCCTCCCGCATCATCCTAACTCCCATCTGCGCCCAGGAATCTCCAGCTGAATTGGCCGTCCGAGAGCCAAGTGGGTGGTTTCAAAAGGTCATTCTGCGGTTCACGCTGAGATGCGCACGTGCACTGCAACGCCGACCCGCACGACAGGGGCGAAGGGTGAGTGAGGAGGAGGAGGAAGAGGAGGAGGAGGAGGAAAATGAGGGGGAGGTGGAGGTGGAGGTGGAAGTGGAGGGAGGAGGGAAGAACGTCGCATTCAATTGTCAGCACTTCCTTGGCGTGGTGTTTAGCTGTCCGCAGCAGATCCTCATCTGCACGCAGGCGCTGTGGTGTACACCAGCGTTGCGTTGCACGCGGATGCTGCGGTGTACACAGGCGCTGTGGTCTGCACCGGCGCTGTAGTGCATGCAAGCACTGTGGTGTACACAGGCGCTGCGTGCACACTGCTGTCGCGGTGTACGCAGTCGCTGTGGTGTACACGCAGGCGCACTGGTGCACGCGAGCATTGTGGGGTGCACAGGCGCTCTGGGGCTGCTCGCCAACTACATGGTGCTCCTAGTTGGCCCCGGTCATCCCTAGGCATTCCTGGACACCGTCGACGCGGAACGTGACGTCATCTGGAGGGGGATGGCGGGGCCGATGACGGCCGCTATCCCGGAAAATGATTAAAAAAGGATCTTGTGGTGCCGGAGCCACACGGCGGGAGGAGGCGTTACGTTATACCCCCCCGCCCCAACCCCCTTTAACGTCCATCATCGCCGAAAATATGAAAACGCGCTCCAACTTTGCCCAGACGTCCAAGGCTTGAGAAATTCAACGCCGAGGGTTCTCTTGGTGTTCTGCTTCTGGGGGCCTTCGGCGAGCCCCCGGACCGTTAATACACGGCTGAGGCCCTGAGCAGGCCGGCCTTGGGGAATTGGTCCAGACACCCCAGAGATGCGTAATTTTAAGACGGGCCTGTTTTCTACAGAGTGAAAATTCACAAATAGTAAAACAATAGTCAGGGGACGATTTGTTTAAAATTTGTTGATTGTTTTTGAATATTTGTTGCCTATTTCAAATTTGTCCTCGAAAATCAGCCTGTAGGGGGACATGCCCGACCTAAGCGTAATTGAAGAATGCTCAGTCTCGAAGCTTTTACTTGGTGTCGGCCTCGATTGGGCATTGGCCCGTTGTCAAGCCCAGGGGACGTCGAGAATTGATCTGGGGGGCAGGACTATCCCCTGGGGGCTCGCAACCTCTTGGCGCCGCGCACGGAAACAAATCGCATCGTCGGACGTCTGGGAGCCATATCCCGGATGACCCACACGAATCCTTCGAGAGTTTGCTGCCGCCAGCATTGCCCGCGAAGGTTTAATGTAGCACGACGATTAATAAATGATTGGGGTTCGTGTTGCGTCGGCGGCGCCCCCGAGGATGATTAGAAAAAACCGGCCGCGGGCTGGAAAATTATTTGTTTAATCGTTCCCCCCTTGACAGCCGACGGGCCAGACGGAGCCGAAGCGGAGGGTTAGGAGGGAGGGGGTCAAGGAGAAAGGAGCGGGGGCAACAGCAGTGAGACGCAGTTACAACGACGAGCGGATCGGATTTGTAGTCACCATGAGCTGCAATAGCAAGTGGAGGATAAGGAGGTGCCAGACCCAACCATGTGCAGCTGTGGCGGACCCTGCCACTGTGGCCTTCGGTGGAGCTTCCTATTCGACGCAAGATTCGAAGCCGTCGTGTAATAGACATATTGTTGAATCGTCCTCTTCCCGTTGAAAAAGCATCTAGAATCAAAGAAGCTATTTTTCAATCGTTCCCCATATTGTTTATTCATCGTCATCCTGCATTACAGGTTCTGAGCACGCGCTCCGCCTTCCCTTCTCCCCCTCTGGCCGCCTTCTCCCCTTCCACGCGCCGTGCTCATTCAGAGTTTCCGCGTCGGGGAGCGTCCGCCATTGCTGCGGCAAAGAAGTCTTGGGACCAGTGTCGACACCGACGACGGCGGCCTCCTCGTGTCTGGTGCGTTTTCTTTTGGGCGTTCTGCTGGGCGTCATGGGCTGGAGACATCTGGCCAGGACGGGCCCTGGGAAGGGTCCAGGGCCTGACGTCGACGTGCTGATCGGAGGACCAGGAGGTAACGATAAGGATGATTTCCAGGATCTCCCAGACTTCCACGATTGCCGAGATTCCCCAAATGTCCGACACGGGCTGCAGACACGAGAGCCCCTAGTTGCTCCGAACTCGTGGAGCGCATCTTGAGCTAATCGCATCCTGAGCCAATCCTTGCTGAACGACTCTAGGTATATTCACAAATGGTTGCTTGCTTATGTTGCTGTTTGGAGCTCCAGGCACCACCATGTCAACTCATATACCCGACAGTCCCAGTAGCTGGCCGAGACTTAGGCCGAGGCCCTGTTCCGAACGGCAGTATCATGCAGAAGGCATCCGCGCCTCCACGCCACCATCATGGCTTGCCAGGGCCATCCACGGCCCCAAGATGGTAAGACCCTCCTGGCCACAGCCACAGCCAGGATGGCACATGAACCACGCCAGGGACTAGGAGAAGGCCCCGAATGGCCCTGGCCAGGGATGGTGGCTGTGTGTGTTGGAGCTTTGTGCGCATGTCTGTTTACGTTGCCGCTTGTGGACTTCCACCCGCCACCACCACCGAGGGCGCAGGATGGACTGCTTGTGTTTTCAGTCCGTGGACCCCATGAGGTCTCGACCCCTTCTCATGGGTAGCTCCTCATCTTGGACCCCGTTCTGGTCGCCCCCGGTGCACGAAGACGTCTCACGGGGGCCGAAACGGAGAACGGGCGCATTACATAAACATCATGTTTCGAAGATCCGCGCGGATTTCTTAGATCGGCGTTTGACCCCCCGACCTGGCCCGCGAAGCGCTCCACGGGCTCCACGGGGACGGAGGCGCCGAGAGAGGGATCCAGCGCCGACCTAAGAAAGCCACCCTTCGTGATACATAGTCGGGAACGAACATTCTCCATTGGTACGATGGTTGGGCTCACAGTGTTTGCTCCTCCAAAAACAGAGGGACACATGCTTAACCAAAAGCAGGGAAAGCTGTCCGGTGTTTTTCTTCCATTGTGTGTTGCCGCGCTTGGGCCTCCACAGGCACCACGACCAAGAATATGGGGCGGCTTTGCTCGGATGCTCCGATGTGAACGTGCCCATGCGATCGCGTATCCGTAGGATCGCGCCCATGGATCTAGAACGCGAGGGCTTGGACCTGGACATAGAAAACCGCCTGTTCCGGATAATGAATGATCTCCCCTTCCTTATTAAGCGTTCATCATTCCCCCAATACAGATATGGTCGGGAAAAAGAGGGACGGCAAGGCCGAACTTGATTATCGCGGGGGGAAGTTGCTAATCGAAGTTGTGACCTTCTTATATTGACTAGCAACATCCTCCAAGACGCATGGCAGGGCTATATCATATTTGTTATTAGTACTACTACCTCTACTACTACTACTACTACTACGACTACGACTACTACTACTACTACTACTACGACGACTACTACTACTACTACTGCTACTACCCGCATTACTACGACTACTACTACTACTACTACTACTACGACTACTACTACTACTACTACTGTTATTACTACTACTACCACTAATAATGATAATAATAGTCATATTCTCACTCTCGCTACTACTACTACTACTACTACTACTACTATGATAGCTACTACTATTATTATTTCTACGATTACTACTACTACTACTACTACTAAGTTTACGACTACTATTACTACCACTACTACTACCACTCTCACTACCACTACTACTACTACTACTACTACTACTGTTACTACTACTACTACTACTACTACTACCACTACTACTACTACTACTACTACGACTACTACTACTACTACTACTAATAATACTACGACTACTACTACTATTTCTAATATTCATAATCCAATCATCACTCTCACTACTACTACTACTACTACTACTACTACTACTACTTACTACTACTTACTACTACTACTACTACTACTACTACTGCTACCACTACTACTACTACTACTACTACTACTACTATTACTACTACTACTACTACTACTACTACTAACTACTACTACTACTACTACTACTACTACTACTACGACTACTACTACTACTGCTGCTTCTGCTGCTGCTGCTACTACTACGACTACGACTACGACTACTACTACTACTACTACTACTATTACTATTGTTACTACTACTCCTACTACTACTACTACTACTACTACTACTACTACTACTACTTACTACTACTACTACTACTACTACTACTACTACTACTACTACTACTACTACTACTACTACTACTACTACTACTACTACTACTACTACTACTACTACTACTACTACTACTACTACTACTACTACTACTACTACTACTACGACTACTACGACTACGACTACGACTACTACTACTACTACTACTACTACTACTACTACTACTACTACTACTACTACTACTACTACTACTACTACTACTACTACTACTACTACTACTACTACTACTACTACTACTACTACTACTACTACTACTACTACTACTACTACTACTACTTACTACTACTACTACTACTACTACTACTACTACTACTACTACTACTACTACTACTACTACTACTACTACTACTACTACTACTGAAGAGAGCGTGGGCTCCGTCCACCGGGCCGACATCGGGGCGGTCACGAAGCTGCTGGGCCGCAAGCCGTACAGGGTGTGCGCCCCCCAGGTCTGCCACATGCGTCGTCCGCGGCTTTACTGGTGCTCTTTCTGCCTCGTGGGGGACGCCGGGCACAGCATCGAGGAGAGAGACCTCTGGCGCCAGGTGAAGCTTGACGCGGACCCAGGGCATTGCTCGCGCTGGCTGCGGCGAGGTGCCTCCTGGCCCGCTGGAGACGACCCCGCGGCAAGGCCCCCCACCGCCGCGAGGAGGGAGCGGCGCTCGCCCCCTCGCCCGCGGCCCGCGGGCTTCGCTCAGTGCGACCCAGCCGCGCTGCAGCGCTGGGCGGACGACGGGTTCGCCCTCCCGCCGTACCAGTACATCGAGAAGCACTGCATGCACGAGAGAGGGGAGTGGCGGCCCCCATGTGCTGAGGAGCGGGAGGTGCTCATGGGCTTCCCGCGCGGCCACACTCAGGTCGCAGTTCCATCAGGTGTGCTGAGGGACGACCCGCAGCACGCTGAGTCGGTCCGCTGCATCGTCCCCGGGAGTGCCTTTCACGTGGAGGTCGTGGCGTGGCTGCTGGGGCACCTCGCCGTCAAGTGGCAGTTCTTGGCGAGTGTTCCCTTGGTCGACCTCCTGAGGGAGTCGGCCCGCCCGGTGGCCGCTAGCGCATTTTGCAGCTCGCGCGGCTTTGCGCCAGAGCAGGCCCTTGTGCTGGACGTGAAGAGGTCGGCGTCCACGAAGGGCTCCGACGTGAGGATCTCGACTGGAGAGCTCTTCTCACCGTCGGGATGGCCCCGACTTCCGATCCCCGCCAACTTGTGGCGCTGGTCCGTGGTCCTGCAGTTCAGCTGGCACCAGACGGCGCACATCAACGAGCTGGAGATGAGGGCCTACCTGTCGGCTCTCCGCTGGCGTCTGCGAGCCGAAAAGAACTTGCAGACGAAGTTCCCCCACCTGTTGGACAGCCAGGTGTCTATTGCTGTCCTCACCAAGCACAAGTCGGGGTCTCGCCAGTCGAATCGCATTGCTCGCAAGGTCAGCGCACTTGAGCTGGCCTCAGGGGTCATGGCCATCTTGGGCTTCTGCCGCAGCGGTGACAACCCTGCGGACGCGCCCAGCAGGACGCGCACGCGTCATGGTTAGACGCCTGCGCGCAGAGGCAGATCGTGCGAGCAGAGCCGCAGCCAGGAGGACGCTGGGGCATTTGCGACTTCAACGTGTGGCTCCCCCGACACGAATTCGGTATTTCCGGGCTGCATCCATGTTTGTCCAGTATCAGCTGGACCAGGGCTGGCCACAGCCCGTCGACGCCGCCGACGTGGACCAGCAGATCTGCACGTTCATTGAACATCTCTGGATTGACGGCGAGGGTCGCAATCTGGCAGGAGATGCGTTGAGTGGTATTCAGTTTTACTTGGGGCGACGGCGTGTGTTCCCTATGTCCTGGGATATTTGGCGGACCTGGGGCAGGGTCGAGATGCCGCGGAGAGCACCGCCCATGTCCGTCGCCATGCTGTGCGGCATCGTCCACGTGCTGTGGCGGCTCGGGCGGCAAGATGCAGCGGTGCTCATCCTGGTCGCCTTCCATTGCTTGCTGCGGACGGGCGAGCTCATGTCCATCCGCGCCGAGCACGTGCTGATCAATGCGAGCCGCGCAGGCCTCGCCGCCCTGCCGTGGACCGAGAGCGGGGCCAGGAGAGGCGCGCAGGAGCTGGTCACCGTCGACGACCCAGTCGTGGGCCGCGCGCTGGCATGGCTCCGCCAGCGGCAAGGCGCGGGGCCACTGCGGTTGGGCACAGGCGCGCAGTTCCGCCTGCTGTTCGAGCGGGCGTGCGTCCAGGCTGGGGTCGAGGAGGTTGGCCTCAAGCCCTACAGCCTGCGCCGTGGCGGTGCGACGCGCGACATGTGCACCCGCGGTGACCTCGGGCGCGCCGTGCACCGCGGCCGCTGGTCCGACCTGCGCACGGCGCAGATCTACATCAACGACGGGCTGGCGGCGCTGGCGCAACGGCGAGTGCCAGGCGCCGCCGCCCCTTGCAGCGCGAGCTGCCGCCCTCGCGCGGCTGCTCGCGCCCCCGTGAAAAACAGGGGCGCCTCTCCTCTTGGTGAGCGCCGAGAGCTGACCCCTGCGCAGGGTAGAGAGGGGGCCCGACTGCCCTCCACGGGTCGGCTTGGGGAGGGCCCCCCTCGACGCGGCCCCGCGCTGCGCCGAGGCCTCGCCAGGCCGACTTGGAGGGCGGCCAGACCGCCCCGTTACCTTGTGCAAGGGCAGCTCTCGTGCGCGCCCATACTCACCTGCTCCTCCCCTCCTGACCTTTAAGAAAGCTTGTCCTGCCACCGGTGGCGGCCGGTCCCCCTTGGAGGGTGGCCGATCGCCCCCGGGGGGGGGCCAGGGTTGTTCGCCCTCGGCCGCCTACGCCGCCCCCCCGTCCGCAGTCGAGGTTCTTAGTTGGGAAGGGGGTTCTCGGAGTTGTTCCCCACATCCTGAGTGGGGTTCTTGTTTTCCCAGAACACCCTCTCCTTCCCACCCACCTCCTGCTCCATCTTCCATACATCACAATATTATTCCTACCACACACCATACCATACCATAGTTCCTACCACACATACCATACCATACCATACCATACCATACCACACCATACGTACCATACCGTACCATACCATACCATGGCGTACCATAGCATACCATACCATATCACACCAATGCCACACCGTACCATACCATACCATACCTCCAGTACCATACCATACCATATCATACCATACCGTACCATACCATACCTACCATACCATTCCATACCACTCCATACCGAAAACCATACTACTTACATGGTTTCGTGCCCCTCCCACCCCTCCAGGGAGGCCCCGCCTGAGCGAGGAGGGTATCGGAAACCATACTATTTACATGGTTTCGTGCCCCTCCCACCCCTCCAGGGAGGCCCCGCCTGAGCGAGGAGGGTATCGGAATACCATACTATTTACATGGTTTCGTGCCCCTCCCACCCCTCCAGGGAGGCCCCGCCTGAGCGAGGAGGGTATCGGAATACCATACTATTTACATGGTTTCGTGCCCCTCCCACCCCTCCAGGGAGGCCCCGCCTGAGCGAGGAGGGTATCGGAATACCATACTATTTACATGGTTTCGTGCCCCTCCCACCCCTCCAGGGAGGCCCCGCCTGAGCGAGGAGGGTATCGGAATACCATACTATTTACATGGTTTCGTGCCCCTCCCACCCCTCCAGGGAGGCCCCGCCTGAGCGAGGAGGGTATCGGAATACCATACTATTTACATGGTTTCGTGCCCCTCCCACCCCTCCAGGGAGGCCCCGCCTGAGCGAGGAGGGTATCGGAAACCATACTATTTACATGGTTTCGTGCCCCTCCCACCCCTCCAGGGAGGCCCCGCCTGAGCGAGGAGGGTATCCGAAAACCATACTATTTACATGGTTTCGTGCCCCTCCCACCCCTCCAGGGAGGCCCCGCCTGAGCGAGGAGGGTATCGGAAAACCATACTATTTACATGGTTTCGTGCCCCTCCCACACCTCCAGGGAGGCCCCGCCTGAGCGAGGAGGGTATCCGAAAACCATACTATTTACATGGTTTCGTGCCCCTCCCACCCCTCCAGGGAGGCCCCGCCTGAGCGAGGAGGGTATTCGAAAACCATACTATTTACATGGTTTCGTGCCCCTCCCACCCCTGCAGGGAGGCGCCCCGCCTGAGCGAGGAGGGTATCGGAAAACCATACTCTTTACACGGTTTCGTGCCTCGTGTCCCCCCTCCACTCCTCCAGAGAGGCCGCGCTTGAACGAGGAGGGTCGCGGAAAGCATTGCTCTTCGCCAGGTTTCGTAGCCTTCCCCCCTTCCAGCGGGGCCCCGCCAAAGCGAGGAGGGCATCAAGAAAATGGGTCCCACGAAACCGTTAATCTCTTTATGTGGGGAACTCCGTTAGCATAATTTTAATCTTGCAAGTTCGGCGCGCCAGAAAGGGGAGACGTGGGAGGGCCCCCCCCTCGAACCCCCCCGTCGGACTCGCGAGACACCCTCGCGGACCTGGGGCCCCGTGGGCCCCCGTTAGACCAGGGTCTGGGCCTTCGGGCGAGCCAGTTGGACCGGGGGCGTTTCTTGGGGGGCGTGGGCCCATGGGCCCTCGGGTGTGATCCCCTCTGGCCTGCCTCCAGAAAAGCGCGCTTCCCCCGGGGAGCGACTATTATGTAGTCGTGAGGGGGTGAGTGCTCTGGGGCAGGCCGCGCAGGGCCTCCAAGAGGCCCCCCTCTTCCGCTCTGCAGCCGCTTTGGCCCCCCCACAAACCCCACTGGTGCTGCATTAGGAAGGGCCCCCCCCCTCGAACCCCCCCGTCGGACTCGTGAGACACCCTCGCGGACCGGGGGCCCCGTGGCCCCCCGTTGGACCAGGGTCTGGGCTTCGGGCGAGCCACTTGGACCGGGGGCGTTTCTTGGGGGGTGTGGGCCCATGGGCCCCTGCCTCCGGAAAGCCGCGCTTCCCCCGGGGAACGACTTACTACTACTACTACTACTACTACTACTACTACTACTACTACTACTACTACTACTACTAGTACTAGTACTAGTACTACTACTATTATTACTACTACTATTATTATTACTACTACTACTACCACTACTACTACTACTACTACTACTACTACTACCACTTCGACTACGACTACGGCTACGACTACGACTACGACGTTCACTACTACTACTACTACTACTACTACTACTACTAATAATACTACTACTACTACTACTACTACACCTACTACTACTACTACTACTACTACTACTACGACTACTACTACATCAGCAACAACTACTACTACTGCTAGGATGACTACTACTACCACTACTGCTACTACTACTGCTACTACTACTAGTACTACTACTACGACTCCTACTACTACTACTACTACTACTATTATTACTACTACTACTACTACCACTACTACTACTACTACTACTACTACTACTACTACTACTACTTACTACCACCACTATCACTACAACTGTCTTACTACTAGTAACACCTACTATGAGTACTGCGAGTACGATGACTCGTACAATTTTATTGTTATTGTTATTTCTACCATTACGATTGCTATTGCTACACTGCTACTACTGTTGCTACTACTACTACGACGACTACTACTACTACTACTATCATTCTTTGTGTTTACTACTGATACCGCAGCGTTTACTACCAATCGTGCTACAACCACTTCTGCTACTATTTTGCTTACTATTACCACTGCGACCACTTTTACGAGTACGGTTAGCATTGCTACCAATCCTATGTTTTTTACCATTCCGACTGCGACTGCTATTATCAGTGCTATTAGTAGTAGTAGTAGTAGTAGTAGTAGTAATAGTAGTAGTAGTAGTAGTAGTAGTAGTAATAGTAGCTGTACTACTACTACTACTACTACTACTACCAATTCTCAACACAATATTACAAGTACAAATGCTTTTATTTTCATACGCCTACTACTACTACTACTACTACTACTACTACTACTACCACCATTACTACTGCTACTACTACTACTAATACTATTACTACTACTACTACTACTACTACTACTACTACTACTACTACTACTACTACTACTACTACTACTACTACCACCACCACCACTACTACTACTACTACTACTCTACTACTACTACCACTACCTCTGCTACTGCTACTGCTACTGCTACTACTGCTACTATTACTGCTACTACTACTACTATTACTACTACTACTACTACTGCTACTACTATTGCTACTACCACTACTAGTGTTAACAACACTACTACTACTACTACTACTACTACTACTACTACTACTACTACTACTACTACTACTACTACTACTACTACTACTACTACTACTACTACTACTACTACTACTACTACTACTACTACTACTACTACTACTACTACTACTACTACGACTACTACTACTACTACTACTACTACTACTACTACTACTACTACTACTACTACTACTACTACTACTACTACTACTACTACTACTACTACTACTACTACTAACTACTACTACTACTACTACTACTACTACTACTACTACTACTACTACTACTACTACTACTACTACTACTACTACTACTACTACTACTACTACTACTACTACTACTACTACTTACTACTACTACTACTACTACTACTAGTGTTACTTATCAGGTTTCGTGCCCCTCCCACCCCTAGGGAGGCCCGCCTGAGCGAGGACGCTATTCGAAAACAGTGTTATGTATCAGGTTTCGTGCCCCTCCCACCCCTCCAGGGAGGCCCGAAAACAGTGTTATGTATCAGGTTTCGTGCCCCTCCCACCCCTCCAGGGAGGCCCCGCCTGAGCGAGGACGCTATTCGAAAACAGTGTTATTTATTAGGTTTCGTGCCCCTCCCACCCCTCCAGGGAGGCCCCGCCTGAGCGCCTCCAGGGAGGCCCCGCCTGAGCGAGGAGGGCATTCGCGAACAGTGTTATTTATCAGGTTTCGTGCCCCTACCACCCCTCCAGGGAGGCCCCGCTTGAGCGAGGAGGGCATTCGCAAACCATGTGATAGAAAAGGATGGAGAGGGCGAGGTTCATGACAAAATGATCTTTGATTCCTCCGGCATCCCAATAACATCATTATGTGGGGAACTCCGTTCGCATAATTTTTGTTGTTTGAAAGTTGGTATTGGGGCCTCCTTCCGCTCCCTTCCCTTCGCTCTCCGCCCTATGATGTTTGTTACAAGTCGTATTCATATTATTACTAGCACTACTACCACTACTAGGAACACTTTTACTACCACTACTACGTCTACTACCACCTTCGCCTTGCTACTACGCCTACTACCACTACTACCACTACTACCACTACTACTACTACTACTACTACTACTACTACTACTACTACTACTACTACTACTACTACTACTACGACTACGACTACTACTACTACTACTACTACTACTACTACTACTATTATACTACTACTACTACTACTACGACTAC